GTACGGGGGCGACACTGAGGGTTGCGATCTGTTGCCGGACACGGGAAAAAAAAAAAAAAAAAAGAAGATTCTTGAAAACATTTTTTTGATTTATTTCTAGGTGTGTCTTATTTTTTTATTGCTCTTATGAAACTATCTTTGTTATGTGCTCTAACTGGTTATTGCTGGTATTCAGCAAAAATATGTTTTGTATGCTTATTTGGTCAATGGCAACACTGTAATAGAATATATATTTGTATACACATATTTCTTAAAAATAATACTTTCTTGGGGTGCAGTTTACATACCCTAGAGTTCACCCCTTTAAGTATGCACTTCAGTGTTGTTTGTGTATCACAGAGTTGTGCAACCATCACCACAATCTAACAGCATTTTCATCACCCCGAAAAGAAACCCTGTACCTATTAACAGTTACTCCATTTCCCCTCTTCTCCCAGCCCCTAGCAACCACTGTTCAGTATTTTGTGTCTCTCTGGATTTGTGTATTCCCACCATTTCATATAATGGAGTCATATAATATATCGTCTTTTGGACCAGCTTCTTTCACTTTGCATCATATATTCAAGGTTCATTGTGTAATGAAATATTTACTTTAGTAGGTTTTCATTTTTTTAATTTTTATTTTATTTATTTATTTTTTCTTTTTGTCTTTTTTCGTGACCGGCAACGGATCGCAACCCTCAGTGTCGCGCCCGTACCGGACCGGGACTGGCAACGGGATCGCAACCCTCGGTGTTGTGTCCGCACCTCACTCAGCCAGTGAGCGGGAACCGGTCTGTATGTGGGATCCGAACCCTCGGCGGGAGTGCCGCCGCGCTCCCAAGTGGCACACTGTAGCAGTGCGCCACCGGGCCGGCCCAAGTTAGCTATGCTTTTATTTTTATTATTTTTTTATGTTTTTTGGCTGCTGGCCGTGAAGGGGATCCAGACCCTTAGTGTTGTTTTTATTTTTAAAGTGCATTTCATGTAGATAGACTATAGTTGGGTCTTCCTGTTCTAAAACTAGTTTGGCAAACCTTGCCTTTTAGGCCATTTTTATTTAACATAGTTATCCATATGAGTGTGTTTAAATCTACTTTTTTGCTATTTGCTTTCTGTTTGTCCTGTTTTTTGTTTCTTTACTGTTTACCTACCTTCTTTTGTATTAATTGAGCACTTTTTGGCATTCTGTCTGTACTGTTGACTCATTAGCTATTCCTTCGGGTTTTTTTTTTTTCGGTGATTGCTCTAGGATTTACAACGTGTATCCTCAACTTACAACAGGATTCTTCCATTTCTTTCTCCTGTTAATTGTGCTATCTCTGTCATACATTTTACTTCCATCTATGTTGTAATTTTTGCTTTATGCACTCAATTATCTTGCAAATAAATTAAAAATGAGAAAAAAATCCTTAATATTTATCTATGTATTTACCATTTCCAGCTTTATTTTTTGTTTTGTATAGATGGCTGGCTGGCTGTTAGCTCAGCTGGTTAGAGCACAGTGTTATAAACACCAAGGTTCAGATCCCTGACCTGGCCAGTCACCAAAAAACAACAACAACAAATTTATAGATTGCAGTTTCCATATGGTATCATTTGTTTTCTGCTTAAAAAATTTACTTTAACATTTCTGCTGGTATAGATTATTGATGATGATGTTTTTATTACTGTGTCTTCAAGTTCACTGATCTTTTTTTTTTTTTTTTGCAGTGTTTAATTTGCTGTTAATCCCATTTAGTTAAGTTTTCATTGTAGATTTTGTTTTTTCCAGCTTTTGAAGTTCTGGTTTTTTAAAATATATTCCATTTCTTGCCTCATATCATTCGTGTTTTCTTTGACATCCTCGAGTGTATTTGTAGTGTTTGTAGTACCTCTTTTAAAGTTTGTATCTATTTATTGTACCATCTTTGTTATTTTTGCTTATAAACCTACTGGTTTTTCTCCTGTTAGGGATCACAGTAATTTTAGACAGTTACATGCTTAGTAATTTTTGAATGGTTGTTGGTCATTTTAATTATTATGTTGTTTTAATTTTTTTGTCTTTAAAGAGTGTTGAAGTTTGGCAGTCAGTTAAGTTACTTGTGGTCGTGATTCAGCCAAAGACTTGGGGCCTCTGTGCAGACGTCTGGAGCTGATTCTCTACCTAGCTTCTCTTCTTTAGTATCTTGCCCTGCACATTTCAGCTGACTCAGTCTTCTTGAACTCCATGCTCTCTCTTCATTGTGCTTTGCTTGAATCCCCCTCTCCATGTACTGAGTTCTAAAAATTGCCACCCAGCAGATAGCGTGTGCAGCTGTAAAGCTCTATGGGTTTGTTACCCTCTTTCGGGATCACAAGCATGTTCCAGTGTCTGAAAATAGTAGTTTCATATATTTTGTTCAATATCCTAATTGTTGATGGTAGCATGGCAGATTTCATATCAGTTATCCCTTTATAACTGGAAGAGGAAATCTTTTTTTTTTTTTCTTATTACACTGGTTAGAACCGGATTATTGTTAAATCATAGTAGTTGTAGCAGGTATCTTCTGTAAAGGATGGTACTAGATATTAATTTGAGATAGAATAATTTTTTGACAAGGTAAGAGTATTTTCCCCTACGTTTTAAAAGTGGGAATGAATGTTTTGTTAACTCTAATGCCCTTTCAGAAACTCTTAAGATGAACATGTATTTTTCCCTTTTGCTCTATTGATACTTGGGTTATGTAGGTTTACTAATATGGAACCATTTTTACATTTCTAAATAAACTCTTTTTAATTTTGCTACATTGTTTTAATGTCATGTTGATGTTTAATTTTACAACAGATGTTTGATATGTTTTTCCCTAGAATGGATGATGAACTTGTTGTTGGACGTGGTGCAAGATAAGACATCTCCAACTGCCCTTGTACATCTGGCTTTTAAGTTTCTTTACATCATCACTAAGGTACCAGTTATGGAGTACTATCCCATGGACAGACACTTTCTTAATATACTTGGTCCCAAAGTTACCCTCCAAAATGTTATTTCTTAGTTGGTTCTCAGAGAAATTGTGGGTTTCATTTTCTCTCTTTCAGCTGTATGTTTGGGATTGGATCTTGGTGATCCAGGGGGTCCTTTGGCTGAAACGATGTCCAAGATATGTAGTGTCTTGCATTTAAATAGATTAAAGCACTGCCTAGCTGGGAAGGGAGTGGGGAGGGAGTATGACTAAGTCAGTAAAGTTTCTTGCAAGTAAAAAGCATAACAAAATTGGTGGAAATGGAGTTTTTCAGACCTTAATGTGTCGATGAATTTCCTGGGGATCTTGGTATACTGCAGATTTTGAGTGAGTACGTTTGTGGTGGAGCCTAATATTCTGCTGTTCTCACCAGCTTCTAGGAGAGACTTACTGCTTGCAGTTTTGACCATGGGAGTGACTCAGAGCCATTTAAGGGGGAGTTTGTGGTTCTTAAGGACTGTACATTGCAATGTTCTTGCCGTATGGTGGGGACAGGCCCTTGGCCAGTGAGAGGACACCATGGGTCGGTTGCCCAGTGGACACATTTCTCTGCATCTCAGGTGTTCAAGTGTAGGATTCCTCCTGAAGGTGTGGTCTTGCTGCATTTCATGGAAGTGTTAATGAGTTTGGGGACCTTTAAGGTTCTTGGGGACTTGTTCCTCATAAATGCCAGAGGACAGTTGCATAAACAAGGTAGAAGCAAAATTTAGTTTGTAACATGTCTGTATTTCTGATGAGCCACATTTAAGATTTGTTAGTCAGGTTGGGACAGATCATATTTAATGACTGAAATGATTTAAGAAACAAAGATAGCTTCTTGTTACTTTAGTCTTACTGAGCTGTATCATGGTAACTTGACATGGTTGTCCTTGATCATGTGTCCTAGGTGGCACAGGTGGTGATTTTTGACCAGAGAGGGAAAAGATAATTTTGCTACTCCTTCAGTATTTTCTAATTATATAATAATTCAGTGTCTTTATTTGGTAGGTTCGAGGATATAAAGTATTTCTTCGCTTATTTCCTCATGAAGTGGCCGATGTGGAGTGTGTGTTAGATATGGTCACAAGTCAGAACCCAAAAGACCACGAGGTGAGTGCTCCTGCTCCTGCCGGCCTCTCCTGCTCGTCTGGCCTCGCTGTTTGCTGTGCTCTCACGCCGGCAACTTCACTGTCCTGTTTCCTTCAGTTTCATCTTACTGTGTTGTTACGTATCACCCCCTTCTTCTCTTTTATCCTTTTGCTTTCCCTTTACTTTTTACATGTTACTTTAAGATATTTTTCTTTAAAATACGATTAAGTCCTTTATATAGATAAAATATGACTAGGTACAGTTTGGTGATAAATCTGTCACAGTACATGTTCTTTTTTCACTTGATGTGTATTTGTGTTGAGGCCTCCTAAGACCACCCAGGTTCGATGATTCTCTAGAAGGAGCACTCATGGGATTGGGCATGTACTTGTCCTTTTGGCTGTGATTCATTATAGCAAAAAGATACAAATCAGCAAAAGGAAAAGGTGTTTGGAGTGAAGTCTGGGGGTAACCAGGTATGAGATTTCAGGATCTCCTCTCGGTGGAGACACACTGGGCACATGTAATTCCCCTAGCAGTGAGTTGTGACGACATGTGGGAAGTGTTGTCTACCAGGAAAGCACATTTGAGACCCAGTGCCCAGGGTTTGATTGGGGGCCGGTCACATAGGCATCTCTGCCTGGCACATGCCAAGATTCCAGACCCCCGGAGGAAAGCAGGTGCTCAGCGTAAAGCACATGGTTTGTACAAACGTCTAGGCCCAGTGAGTCACCCTTATCAGTTGGGGCTTGGTGGGAACTCTCTGAAATCCAAGTTCCCTGACACCAGCCAAGGGTCGGCCTTGCCAGCAGCCTTTCTGAGGACAGCAGTGAGGTCCACAGGTGAGCTCTTTTCTGCATGGTGTGTGTTCAGAAGAGCGCACAGTTGGTAACTGTGTGAGTCCATGCATTGTCTCGACGTGAATGTGCCTGATCACAGTTGAAGACTTGGATGAGCATTTCCCGTTGTCTGTCTGTGCTTGATGCTTTCTTTCCCTAGCACTTCTGATGCCCCCGTGGAATGACTGCAGGGCCAAATTGAATCTTGTTCTGTTGTTTTCTAGAAATAAGGTCACTCCTTCCTTACTGGAGGCTGAGCATTTTTCTTTGTTCTTAGGTCTTCTCTTTTTTATCTGCTTTTTGCTTTCTCCAAGGCTGATTTGCATGTTGAAAGGGGCTAGTGAAGAGCAGCCATTGTACTCATGTTTTGTGATTTTTTTTCTTTGTTTGCTTTGATGTTTCTTTTGTCAGCCCAGTTAGTCAGCTGAGTTGTGACAGTGTACGTGAGTGGTGGGGACACTGGGAGGGATGTGGGGGAGCCATTGGAAGGTCTGTATCCCTGGCTATGAGGTTGATGTCCTTTGAAGGGCCTGTAGTGGGCACTGGGTGGGCAGGGAGGCCAACAAGATGGTGGTGGAACGTGGCCAGTTACCTCTGTCTTTTATATGGGAATCATTCTTACTGATTTAACTTTGTAGACTTGGGAAACCCGCTACATGCTTTTACTATGGCTGTCCGTAACCTGCCTGATCCCTTTTGACTTTTCACGCCTTGACGGGAACCTCCTCATCCAACCCGGGCAAACACGAATGCCCATAATGGACCGTATTCTCCAAATAGCAGAGGTAAGTATACCATGCCAAATGATTAGCTGCTAATTAGTGTTCTCTTTCGTGCTCATGCTGTCTTAATATTAGAGTTAAATTAGGTAAGCTTTTGATATTTATATATTTTTTCAACTGCTACTATTGTTTTTCAGTGAGGTAAAATCCCATTTCATAACCTATTTTGGAATTCTGATAATTCTTGAAGAGGTTTGGATGAACTACTTTAGCAAGTCTCATCTCTTTGTAGGTAATGCAAATGAGCATAGTGGAGACATATAAGAAGTTTTAGGAGCACTGGTTAGAGAAAGTAAGGATCCATTTTACATTTAATTTTTAACATTATACAAATAATACATGGCCATTGTAGGAAAAACTAGAAAATAAAGACAAACAAGAAAAGTATTAAACTAAAGTCTGTCAAATTCTAATGCCAAGAGATAATATTTGTATATTTTCTTCAAACTTTTCCTGATGTAAGTATTATACATATGAACATAGCTTATTGTATTAGTTTTCTGTTGCTGAGTAAATAATTACTCTAAACTCGAGTGGCTTAACACAGCACACATTTATCATTTCACACTTCGGTGGGTCAGGAGTCTTGGTGTGGCTGAGCAGAGTCCTCTGCTTCCAGCACTCCCACGGTCTGCTGTCCAGGCTCAACTGGGGCAGGGTCCGCTTCTTAAGCTCTCAGGGCTGCAGGCAGACATCAGTTCTTGTGTGCTGGCTGTTGGATGGTGGGTCAGGAGTCTTGGTGTGGCTGAGCAGAGTCCTCTGCTTCCAGCACTCCCACGGTCTGCTGTCCAGGCTCAACTGGGGCAGAGTCCGCTTCTTAAGCTCTCAGGGCTGCAGGCAGACATCAGTTCTTGTGTGCTGGCTGTTGGATGGAGGCTGCCGTCAGCCCTTTGCCACACTGGCCACTGTAACATAGCAGCTTAGCTCATCAAAGTCAGCAGGGGAGAGAGTCTGCTGGTGAGGCAGAGCTCATGATCCTGTGCTGCCTGATCATGGAATTGATGTCTCCTCCCCTTGTCTGATCTTGTTAGACACAAATCACCAAGTACAGCCCACATGAGAGGAGGCTTTGCACAGGGTGTGAACACCAGGAGGGAGGCAGGGCTGTAGCCATCGAAGAGTCTGCCTGCCATGCTTTTTATAACAACGGTGGTCAGCACTCATTGAGTACCTGCTGTGTACTTTGCATAGAATAGCTCATTTCATTCTACTTATGAGGTGGTTAACTATTTTTACGCCCATTTAACTGAGGAGACAACAGGTATAAAATGGTTTACTTTGCTCATAAGTGGAGCGGCAGGCAGTTTGACTCTTGAGCCTGTGCCCCTCGTAACACTTGACACTGCCCTTCTTTGGAAGAAGGCCAAGATGTACCATTCTGTGTCCTGTTTTTCCCCTTAGTGGTATATTTTGGTTGTCTTATTTTGTCAATAAATAAGCGTTCCCCTCATAATCTTTAAGGGAAAAGGTGCTCCATTGTACTTACTTTTTAAAATGTTATCTTGTCGATGGACAGTTTGTTTCTACTTTTATTACAAAGAGACTGGTGATAAATAACTGTACATACCCTTTGTTTGTCTACTGAGTGGAGTGGCCAGATTAGAGAGAGTACAGTTTCTGAAGATTTGGTGCCATGTATGTGATTGCCTTCCAGAAAGGTTTCCCCACAAAAAAAGATATTTTAAGTGTATCATTTGGGATAAAAATTAGTTAAGATGAATATTGGAAACTCTTAATACAGGCCTCCTAAAAAAACAAAACAAAACACAACCAAACCTAAGCATTTGTATTAAATCTAGGTCCTCTTCAGTTTGAGTGGGGCCTCCTAACTAGCATGCATTCCAAAATGCTGGTGGATCCCATGTGCTGGTGGTCCCTGAGGCGTCCCTGGTGCTCGGTGGATACTCCATGATTCTTTGTTACAATTGACTAACACGTGTGTTTCCGTTTTTCTGTTCTGTTTTTGCAAATGTGTTTCAAGGGGGTATGACCATACCTCTGTGTGTGTCAGGCACTTAGTTGGGAGTGGATGTAGCAGTTGGCAACCACACCCATTAATTGTGCGGCTTTGTGGCTCTTGGGGAGTTGGTATGTGTGGGACTTGCTGCTGTGTGGGGTACCTGAGATTTACATCCTTGTGGCATAATGGTGCCTGTCCTTTATCCTTTCTTGTAGTCCTACTTGGTTGTCAGTGACAAGGCCCAAGACGCAGCTGCTGTCCTTGTGTCCAAGTAAGTAAGTTCCTGTCAGCTCCTCTGTGGCTGGGTTGATTGTTGCATGACTGGTGTGTTCTGAGAGGGTTTGTATATGTACTGTTATGTGTTATGTGTGTGTCTGTTAGTCCTCAGGTGAAGGACCTGGGAAAATCTTTGGGCTCCTCAGACTCTGTTGCTTTCTTTGAGGGAGCACACCCACTGGGCACAGAAGACATCCAAACCTGAAGTGACCACCCTCAGTGCAGGTTTGGGACACTTGAGGGGGTCACCTGACAGACGCATCCACAGGACGCAGATGTAGAACAGGTGCAGCAGGTATTCCTGGGGCATGGCCTCGCACTGGGGTGGTGGCAGTTAGGTGCCTTTGAGTGTCACCTTAGAAACAGCACATGATGTGGTCTGTGGAGATCACAAGCGGAGACTGGGTCAGTGTGGCTCGGAATAAAAGTCCCCAAACATCCTGTGTTAACTAAAAATAGCTGTGCTGCAGACAGGGGAACATGACCAAAACAGCAGGCCTGGGGTGCCAATAGATGCCAAAAATTCACATGAAGGCCGAGTGAGCTTGTTTCGTCAAATGCGAGAATGGAAGAGAGCAGTTTTTCTAAATTAACGTTTTGTATGATGTGATTTTAAGTATGTGTATGTTTATGTAAGTTAGAAAATTTGTTTTTTTCCCCTCTGTTGGTGAAAGTTGAAAGTTGGTCGTCAAACCTTTTGGTTGTTTTGAATGGGAAAATGGTCAGCACCTCATTCAGGGTCACCTTGTACTCATACTTGGTGTGTGGCTGTGACTTTGCAGAGTTGCCTCCTCTGGGAAGTGGGAAGAGAAAAGCTTGATTATTTTTATTTTTATTTTTTAGTGCAGTTAGGAGCATTGACTGAGGTATTTGCAAGGGCCTTGCTAAGCTGTAGGGTAGCCTAGTGGTAAGGAGATGGCTGTTAAAAGGCATGAGAAGGACCTGGGACAAGGGAGGCCTCTTCCACCAGAGACACTTCACCTGGGAGGGAGGAACTCACCGGGAAGAGGTTGTTTCCTGTTTTGCCAAGGACTTCTGTGTTTTAGAAAACAGTGTGCGAAGCACAAAATAAACCCCCCCTGTGTGTTCCCACCCCGTGGCGGCATGTCGGGTGGGCGCCTGGGCCACCTGTGGCTGAGCTGCATGTGTTTGTCCTCTTCAAAGACTGACAGGCCTGGAGCTTCGTTGTCTTGCAGAACGTGATCATGTGTTGTGATGTATTGTTGTTTAAACCAATACCCTGTTGGACGTTTAGACTGCTGCCGTCCAAATTTGTTGTTAAAATTAACACTATTGTAACAGTACACATAAAACTTTGTTCTGCTCTGACCAATTCCCAGGGATGAGTTCCTGCAAGTGGAATGCGCGTGTTAGGGATTTAAAGTGCAGTTACTAGAAAGGTGGAACAAGTTGAAAGTCCCCTTTTCCACATGTTTACCAGCTGGGGGTGAGGTTACAAATGTTCGTCACTTTGTTAAATAAAAAATAGTGTCTGTTTTTATTGTTACCTTTATTACCAGCAATACTGAAGGTTTGGTAGATTTAAGCTGAGCTTGACTCTGTGGAGGCTGCGCCTGTGGGGACCTTGTTCACTCCCTGGGATCCTACAGGAAAGGTGACAGCTTGGGACACCCACATGGGTCAGCTGGTGAGACGCTCCAGCACCCTCTAGTGCTGGGATGAGCAAGTGTTCCGCTTGGTTAGAACCTAAGACCTGGGGACCAGGGAGAAGCTGCAGCTGTGGTTGCAGATGTGGGCTGTGTGGCCCTTGTCCCTGACTGTCGTGCTTATTCCTAGTGTTTGAGAATAGGCAGGTTCTGTAATTGGAAGAGGTTGTAGAGGTACTCACTTAATCCACCTCAGCAGGGCCCCAGACTCTCTGCACGTTCTCATTTGCCTGTATGCCTCAGTCGTCTTTTGGGTGGGTGGGGGTTGTTATAAACATGGTCAGGAGTCTGAAAAGTGAGTCATGTGCCAGCATTCCTCTGCAGTTTGGGTTCGTTTTCTAACATTTCACGGAAAAGCTGCTGACCTCCTTACCTGCTCTGCTCCCAGGTTTGGATGCTTTTCCCTTTACTAATGACAGCTCTGGAACTGTACCTGTTTCCCTTTAACTGTGAACTTGTAAACATCTGTTGCATTTTATGTAACTCTTGATGGTGTTATATTGTTGCCAAGACATTTGGATAGGAGTGCTACCTTGAAAAACTTCAGTAGAAAAATATGCCTTTGCTTTCATTGATGACATTAATTTTAAAAGTAGCTATTTTTTCTAATTATAAAGGAAAGGTATGCTCCATGTAGAAAAGTTAGAAATCTTGGAACATAGAAAATAAAGAAAAACCCATACATATGTAATTCTTTTTTTTAATTAAAAAAATTAAACTTTTTTTTATTGAAGCAGTTGATTATACATATCTGTGTGTAATTTTAGTATGTACATCTGTTCTATGTCTTTTATCTTTTTCTGTACTATTCCATTGACTATGCAGAGCACGATCTCATCAAATTAGCATCCTGCCTTTTCACTTAATTTCACGCAACACTGATTCAGCGACTCCCTTGTATTCCATTGCGTTTACATGCTTTGATCCAGTTTGTCACTTTCTTCCTGTGAATGTGATGTGATGCCCAGCTTTGGACACAGACCTGTTGTGTTATCTAGGATTGCTTCCTGAGGATAGGACCTTGGAGGTGGACGTCTTGTGTTACAGGACATGAGGTTGTTGGGTCCGCACACCTGTCGCCAGGTGGCCCTTGGGGCAGCTGTCAGCTGCTGTCCTTTTTGGGTTTCTTCTCAGGGCCTGGGTAATACTCCACCCCCACCCCTGAAATGTATTGAAACATTGTGCTGGTCATTGCAGATATTTAATTGGTGTTTCACAGATCACTGGTGAGTTGATACTTTCTCTTGTTTTAGACATTGTAAATCACCCTTTGTGATCTGACTGTTGTTATGTCAGTATGTGTGGGTTTCTTGGTGCCTATTCTCCACTAGCATGAATTTTCTCTGTGAAGGATAATGCTGGGCTGTATTTCCCACAGGGGGTGATTGGCCTTTTATTTTCTTTTTTGGACTAAAGTTTTAATTTTAATGTCAAATCAGCAATTTTTTTCCTTTTATTTATTTAGTTATTTTTACTTTTAAGCCTGAAGCCTTAACCTATTAAGAGATTTAACAAGTAGTCATCCATATTTTTTCTACTTTTTATTGTTTAACACAATTATTAATCCATTTAGAATTATCAGTATTTAAAATAGATATAGCCTGTGATGTAATTTCTCCGAAAAAAGAAAACAGCTTAGGATTCAAAAATGTCTGAGTATGTGTGAATGATCCTGCTTATGTAGATTTGTATTTCTATGGAATAGACATTTTTTCAATTTTTGCTTATTTGTATTTCTGGTCTTTGCTGTGAACATATTCCTCTTTTTAATGAGAAAAATATGAACAACCTAAGTACTTATATCTATCACGGGAGCCTTAGATTCATGCTTTAATTGGAAGCCTGCCTTGTGCGATGTTGTTCAGGAATAGATGTTAGGCATGTTGGTGTGCACGGGCATCCTTCCTACACTGCCCTGTGCCACTGACAGTGAACACAGCTGTTGTGGCTGTGTGGACTGCAGGGGAGGCAGATTTGAACTGGATCTTCAGGAAGCACAGAGTTTCCCAGAGCGAGAGGGAGAGACAGCGTGAGGCACAGCAGCACCAGCTGGTGGGACTTGTGCTGCCGAGTGGCCGAGTTCAGGCTCCGGCTTTCAGTCCAGTCTCCGCCCTGCTGCTCACCAGTTCTGCTCCACTCCATGCCAGAGGCAGCTTCGCTCCTGGGCGTGCTGCCGGCACAGGGTGCTCGGGTTCTCCATCATGTGGGGTCAGAGGTCAGGCCGAGCATCAGGCCACAGCCCCCACTGCCTTTATTCTGCTGACGCCAGAAATAGCGCTGAGGAAGTGGAAATAGTGTATACATACCAACTATGAGTTTCAGGCCACCACCCCGGGGTGCAGATTTTAAATGAAATTCCTGGGTCTAAGGAGGGCACCTGAGTTTGTCTTTTTAACCAATGTGTTAGTCTGTTTTGTGCTGCTATAACAGAATACCTGAAACTGGGTAATTATGAAGAACAGAGGTTTATTTGGCTTACAGTTTCTGAGGCCGGGAAGTCCAAAGTCCATCTGGGTGGTGGTGACAGTGACCCAGGGGTCTCACATTGCAAGATGGTGGAAGCAGAGAGAGCAGAGAGAGAGACAGACTGACTGTCCTCTTCTTTTAAAGCCCTCAGAACCACACCCCTGACCACCATTTTTAATCCACTCACTACTGCAGGTCCTACAATCCAATCATCTCTTCAAGGCTCCACCTTTCAACTACCATAATAGGATTTCCCACCCTCTTAATAGTCACAGTGGGGACAAGTTTCTAATACATAAAACTCAATTTGAGCTTTAGAGAGTTTTGGGGGGACATAATTCAATCCAATACAATCAGCATCCTAAAGTTTTACTAAAATGCTTGGTGACCAGCTAGGGATCTCCAGGTGTGCACCATGAGCTGTGGGGAGCAGGAAGAACAATTTTAGACCCTTTGTTTATTTTTTTTTTTCCTATCTTAAACCTATGCTCTCCTAGGGTTTAATGGCAGATCTCTGCGTGTCTTTTCCCTCCCTGTGGTGGGAAGTCTCAGGGCAATGAGGTTCTTGCAGGATGTTGCAGAGGGTGCTGGGCTGCACCAGGTACTCTCTGGGTGAGCCCCTTGTCAGCCACAACCTGGTGTGAATGTGAGGACCTGTGAGGTCTGGCAGGAATCAGGCCAGAACATTTGGAAATAGGGATTTGTTTCCCTGGTGTTAATGCCGAGTCCCTCTCCGAGTGTGTTCTGAGGGGATGGCGGCCAAAGGGTGCTGGGGTGCTTACTTTCCTGAGAATTTGGAAAGTGCTACCTGTTCACTGTTCTGCACAGGTTCTGAGGGATGTGACAAAGTAACATGACAGCGTGTGTGCTCTCCACCTGAGTGTTCTGGTGAGGTGGTCGTACACTGTGCCCTGAGGGGGTTTGTTCCCCAGAAAGTGTGGAGCCAGCTCTAATGACAGTCTACCTGGGCAGAGGCTAGGAAGGCAGGACAGACAGGGTGACAGGGTCAGGTGGAGGACAGTGACAGGTGGAGATGGAAGGGGAGTGGAGGGAGAGTGAGCATCGTGTCCTAGCTGCTCCGGGTCTGATGTGTCCCCTGAGCACTGGATGCATGCAGCTCACTGCTGGGGGGCTCCACGTGGCTATTGGTGGTTGTCCTACGTGGAGCACTCCAAGTTGGGCTTCTCCACTTCCCGGCCCTCCCCAGCCTCTCAGGAGCAGCCCCACCACTGTTTAGGACTTATCTTGTACCATCCTGCTTTCAACACCACCATCTCCCTCCTGCCTTCCTGGTGTCATGGAAGTGCAGTCAGGACTCAGGTTAGACTTACTGTCATGGCCCGAGGAGGACGTGCTCAGGCCAGGCCAACCTTAGTTCTGCCCCTGAACCCTCCCCATTCAGCCACTTTGCCCCCAGCTCGTTGCCTCCTACAGGCTCCCCCAGTTCCCTTTTGCCCCTGGGCTGTGGCTCTTGCTTCTTCATCAGATGGCAGGTCTCTTCCACTGGGTGTTGTGACCTTTCTCATTTGTTATCCAGTTGCATGTCCCCTCGGAGGCTGTCTCTGCCCCCGTTGGGGGAGGCTGCACCTCCTGCGTCTCCTCTTGTCTTGCTGTTTCCTTCATGACCTTCTTCACAGTTTGGAATTCTCCCAGTGTCAGCTCCGGAAGGACAGGAGCTTGCCCTGCTCCCCATATGGCAGGGCCAGTCTTGAGTCTCTGAGTCAGAGAGCTGGGGGACTAGCCTGTAGGCTCAGGCGTTTGGTTTGGGAGCTGGAGAATGGTGTGATCCAGCAGAAGGACCAGCTAGGAGTCCTGCCCAAGAGGCTGAGCCGAGGAAAGAGACTTGTGCCACACAAGATTGTGCAGAGGGTGGGGCTGAGCCATGGCAGGTGCAGGGAGAGAGGTCTGCCTCAGACCTCACACATATCCTGGGTTGGGGGGCAGGCGTCCTGAGGTTAAGGGATACAGATTTGGGTCAAGGGAAGAGGGAGGGACAGAGGGGTGGGCAGGAGCTCCTAGGTGGTGGTGGGGATAGGTAAAGGTGGTCTGGTGGTATATGTGGCCACAGATGAGTGGGGGCCCAGGACGGAGTAGTTGGGGGCAGAGAGGCCTGTGGGCGGCCTAAGAGAGATCATGGTGGGGAATAGGCCGCTGTTTGGGCAGCGACTTCGTTTCTCAGATTGGAGAGAGGAAGAACTGACTAAGGAGAATGTGGCTCAGCATAGGGCAGATGTTTTGGCAGAGAGTTGTATGTGGGCAGTCAACCTAGCATGGGGGTGCGTTGTGACTGGAAGGACTCGGTGAGGGGGCTGGTGAGGAATGGGTGAGTTCTTGGAGTTTGAGGCCTTGGTTCAGCCATAACCTGCGTTTTTATTTCCTTCTGGCAGATTTATCACACGACCTGATGTGAAGCAGAGGAAGATGGCCAGTTTCCTAGACTGGAGCCTGTGCACATTGGCTCGTTCCTCCTTCCTGACCATCGAGGGGGTCATTGCCATGGACGGGACACTGCAGGCCCTGGTAGGCTCCGCCCTGGGACAGTGCATGGTGCTGTGGAAACAGCAGGGAGTTGCGCTTGCCCAAGGACCATGGAATGTTGCTTACCTGTGGTTCCATTTTGAAGTTAATTGGAACATTTTCCACTGCTTTGGGTTAGTAACCCTGGGCTGGCATTGGGTTTTCTGTGCATTGCCACCAGAGGGCAGTGGTGTCCGCGGAGCCAGAGGCCTGGCCCTGCAGGGGCAGGTTTCTTCTCATCTGGTTTTCTCCTGCTTGGTATTGTTATAAGGTACTATTATTGTAACCAACTCTAATAGAATAAGGCAGTTGTTTTGAAATTTGATTTTGTTCAGATACTCAGGTTTGGTTGTTTCTAACATCTGTTTAAGTACATACCCTGGCACCCACCCAGAGCTGCCTGGTTGGTGACCCCACCTCCTGCCTTTGGCTGACCCTCCTGCTTTGCTTGTCTATTGCATTGCCTTTTCTAGTACTAATGAGGAGAAAAGAGCGAGTTTAAGTTCTGCAGAAGTGGGTGGCTGAGGCCCTGGAGCTTCTGGGTTAGCCTTCTCCTGGAGGGGCACAAATAGCCCTCCGTGACCCTTGGGTGTCGTGGGGACAGTGCCTCCCCTCTGCTCTTTCTTTAATTGTGGTGTATGAGACTGAGAGCAGTTCCGGTCCTTGTCTATGAGGCTGGGGAGGCGATGGCCTGCTCTGAGGAGAACAGGGCACTGTAAAGTCATTTGAGTGGAGGTGACTGAGCACGGCGTGATCGTGGGTGTCTCCCCATCCGCCTACCTGCCTTGCCACCAGGGCTGGGTGGAGAGTGGGCTTGCGGTGCGATAACCCAGGGTGGCGGACAAGCTGCAGCAGGAGTGGGAGGGCAGGGCCACATCTCCTCGAACCTGTTTGCCGCAGCCCCTCTCATGTGTTCCTGGTGGTGAGAATTGAGAAATGTTCTGAGCATCTCTTTCCTTCCACTTATGTTGCCATTGTCTGCGGGAAGGTCGTCATTCAAATGAGAATATTTCAAACATGTAAGAAGGAAACCTGGAAAAATAAAACCTTTCCTAAATTCTGTGCTCTGCTGAGGTGATGTCTGTTTTCTTCAGGGCTCCTTCTATCCTCCACATAAACGTGTTATGTTATATAGCAGTTTTTTAAAAATTGAGATGGAATTCACAAACCATAAGTAATTCACCTTTTTAAAGTGAACGATTGAGTAGTTTTTAGTATATTCACAGTGCTGAGCAAACATCACCGTTATCTAGTTCCAGAGCATTGTCATCACCCAGAGTGGAGCCCTGTGCTAGTGAGTAAAAATTGAGATGGAATTCACAAACCATAAGTAATTCACCTTTTTAAAGTGAACGATTGAGTAGTTTTTAGTATATTCACAGTGCTGAGCAACCATCACCGTTATCTAGTTCCAGAGCATTGTCATCACCCAGAGTGGAGCCCTGTGCTAGTGAGCAGTCGCTGGGCCCCTGCAGCCACTGAGCTTCTGTCCATCTCTGGATTTGCATGTTCTGAACGTTTGCATAAATAGAATCATTCAAAACGTGGCCTTTGTGTCTGAGTGAATGTGGCTTCATTCACTGCAGTGTCTTCAGGGTTCATCCACGTTGTAGCTTGTGTCAGCGCTTCCTTTTCATGGCTTCATATTTCATTGTATGGATTTCTTTTGGCTATTATGAGTAATGCTGCTGTGAACTTCCATGGAGAAGTTTTTGTTTGAACTTAATGTCTTCAATTTCCTTGGGTATGTAACAGTAGTTTTAAAAAAAATTATCAGTATTGTGAATCTTTTTCTGTGTTTCTGAAATCTTTTTTAAAAAAAAAAGAAAAAAAACCCTTCTGACCATGTGCCTGTTGTATTGATGAAATGCGGGGCACCTGCTTGTGCAGGCTTTTCTGGGGTTACAAGTACACATGCAGTCTGTGCCCTCAGGTGGCTCTCATTCCATCTGTGTGTGTGTGTGTGGGGGGGTGGCTCTTAAAGAGGATTTTATTGCGATTTTCAGTTTAATTGCTGTAATGCAGGTCAGTGTGGGCAGAGGCTGGCCTCTAAGGGAACTAGGTGTGGGGGGAGGGGCACAGGTCACAGAAGTGTGCCCATGTGTACCAGTACCATTGGTCCATGGATCCTCGGGGGACGTGCATTTGTGTTTTAGGTTGTCCTGATGAAGGATGGTGGATTGAAATGGTTAATTTGAAGGTTTGAATGTAAGTGGATTCCTGATTTTTGCCATGAGTCTTACTGGAAAGTCTCAGGTCAGGAGAACAAATGAAGGTCTGACAGAATGCAGCAGGGCCTGTTGATCCACGGAGGCTCTGCAGGCCAGGGTGTTAGACTGCCCCCAGTGTGCGTGCCACTTCAGAGGGGGGCACGTCTGACCTTACTCAGTTTGGTGTCTTAAACCACCTTCGCCCAGTCAGTAGTCCACATTCTTTTTTTTTTCTTTTTGGTGGCTGGCTGGTATGGTGGTCTGAACCCTTGACCTTGATGTTACAACATTGAGATCTAACCAACTGAGCCAACCAGCCAGCCCTGGAATCCATTTTTGGCAGGCTTCCAGGGGTCTCCTGCCAGCCTGGTTTGGGAGTATCTCTTGCCTTCCCCATGGCTGCACTCACATCTGACAGAGGTCGGGGAGTCAGCTCCTTGCCATCCTGGTTTGGGAGTATCTCTTGCCTTCCCCATGGCTGCACTCACATCTGACAGAGGTCGGGGCTGGCAGGGTTAAGCAGGGCACCTTGACCATGGGGCTGGAGCCACTTGTGACTGCCCAGGACCTGCAAGCAGGCAAGGCTGCTGTGGGAGAGGCGGGTGCCTTGTGAGAGAGCTGTGTGCCTGCCATGTTCAGGCTGCCTCTGAGGGCTCACGGTGTGTTCTGGCCAGCTATTGGTGCTGTATCCTCCCTGCTCTGCCCCTGGGAGCTCAGAAGCCCTTCTCAGCTTGGGAAGGTTGTGGTGGCCGCTTTTTGTCTAGTTTTGCAGTTGCTTTTCCCAGTTTTTATTTTTATTTATTTTTTTTACTTTTTTTGATCATCTTGTTGCTTATTTCTGGATTGCCCCCAAGTTTTCTGTTTCTCCTTCCTGAGTGGGAGACACCCGATGCACAGATTGTTTTCAGTATACCCGGGGGACAGGCAGCCTTGCTGCCCCTGTCCTGACAGCTGCTGGAGTGGACTGGAATTCCTTTCAGTGGAATTAAACCAGCCAGGAGTGGGAAGTGCTTCTTATTTGGATGTCTCCAAGCCCCACATTCAGGGAGAGAGAAGTTCTTTTTTTCCCCTTCCTTCTGGGGTATAAAAAGCTTCTCCCAAAGGCTTAAAAAAGCCGAGCCCTCTGCCACCCAGCTGGGCATGTGCTGGCAAAGGATGAGGCAGATGCGGCCCTCCCTGCCGTTTGGCAACACACCTCTGCGCGATCTGGAGAGATTTGCCCGCGGCGCGAGTGAGCAATCGTCTGACGCAGCCGCCGATCCCTGGGAGGCGAGCGAGTGAAACCGCTGTGAGGCAGCGTCCCTGGCGGCCCCGTGCCAGGCACATCCCTTCCCGAGCGCCGTGTTTCTCCTGGGAGATCTCCGGTCTTTCTGGAGTCATCCGTGCTGTTGCCTTGTCTTGTGTTGAAGGGACGGTTGGTCTGATCAAGGGCCCCTCAGCAGCAGGAAGCTGTGTTGGGCGCTGAGCGGGCGGAGCAGTTTCGCCATGGGCCTGTCAGACCTGAAGGCAGAGGGCGGGTGTCCTGTCGCACATGCTGGGACCTGCAGGCGGACTGTCAGGGTTTCATCTGTCTTTGATGCACTTGGCTCTGTTCTCATCCACCTGTTCATTAGTGTGGGCTAGGCGAAACAGGTGAACTCTTTACAAGTACCATCGAAACCAGGGTTTGATTTTTATTTCCCTCGAAGCATAGTCCTCTTGCAGTGATGATTTTTAACACTTGTGGGAGGGAAACAAGTGTTTGGCAACTGAATTTCACTGGAAGGTCCCTTTGTTCTAGCTTTTAAAGACACCTCAACATTAGGATGAGTGCAAATGGAGGGGACTCAAGGAGGGAGACACCAGGTTAAAAACGGATAAAGGTCTTCATTTGAACATGTCGTGTCTCTGCCCACTTAATGACATCTGTGCTGTCTCGGCTTTTACCACTCAGATTTGGGGATTCTGACTGTCTGACATGGGTTTTTTCTCTCTGCATTTCCTGTAATGGCTGGGAAGGAAGCGGACGGGAACTTTTATTGCTATAGACGGGCTGTTTACAATGAAAGTGTGGCAGTGTGATTAGTGGCAATAAAATGCTCTTCCGTTTACCAGATTGCATCTCCCCTTCACAATAAAGTTTCTTTTATTTTTTAATTATTGACAAAAGCAAAAGTCTTGTTAAAGGATAAAACAGCTACAAACAACAGAGTTAAAGCTAGGAAAGCCAAAGAACGCCAGCCCCATGGGCACCTGTGAGGAGGGATGTAGAAGCCACTTGGGTTTTTGTGTCTACTTTATAAAACAAAAGGAGTTGGACACCCAGTTGAGTGGCTGTGGACTGATTGCTTGAGGGCAGGCAGGAGGTCCCAGCAACGCAGTCCTGGATTCAGCGACCTCAGCTGGGCCCTGGCCCTTTGCTGACTCCATCTCTCCTGGAGACCAAGGCAGGGGTGAGGCGCTTTGCTCTGTGGCCACATCTGGGAGGGAAGTAACAAGCCTCTTACCTCAGAGGGTGGTGTGAGGCTAATTAGCACATGTCATGCTCTTTGAAGATGAAACAAAGCCAGTTGACTACCCTAAACATTTCTCATCTAGGCTTTGATTTCTTTTCTTTAGGATCCTTTGGAGAATAGCAACCTACTGTTTCATTTAGGGTTCAGTGTGGCCAGAAGACACATTACCCAGATTTTCCTTTATGGTTGTAATGCTTGCTTGGAGGAGGGTTTTGGGTGGAGAAAATATGGTAAGAACCGTTTGAACATACACACTTTTCAAGGTTGTGTGCTCCTGTAGAATTCAGATGAAGTAAGG